CCCCCCCCCCGCCCCTCCGCTCTTGCCCCCGGGAAAATTAATTTAGATGCTTTACAATGAATACTTTGACATCATCTGGCTGCAGGTTGTCCACACTTCTAGATACTTTTTACTAAAAATTCATCAATTTTTCCTTAAAATCATTAATTTTTCCCTAAATTAGCGCGTAAACACCCACAGGGGGGGGGAATTATTTCTAGGGGTGCAGGGGAAAGAGTTTTGAAGGAATATATGGAAGCTGCAGTATTATTTTTTCAGGTGCACTGAAGGAGTTCATCCGAAAGTTCGGTGGGCCAGATCTGTAAACAACAATCTTGAGACAGAAGATTCAAATGATAAGATAACAGTTCATCACTTACAGATCGATCATAATAAAAATAAAAAAGTTGGCGTCCGCCATACTCAGGTGAAAATTCAACGTGATTCTGTTGCAAAAAAGGTGCAAAATTGGCGAAAAGATGAAAAAAACATTAATCTTGCCAATTTAAAAAACATGAAACAAACTGATGCCTCATCAAAAAGTGCTTTGGTTCATAAAACCCTATTTTTTAGACGCCTCCTCACACCAGATACATTATAAGAACAATAAAGTAAAAGTGATATAATTACAATGTTTTAAAATGTCGCCTCAGATGAGTTACAGTTTAAATTTTGAGGCAACATGACTGATCCTATGAATGTAAGAAAATATGAAAAGCTATGAATAATGAATATGCATAATATATATGTTTCTAAGCTGAAATGCAATTAGACAGTGAGCAATATGAACGCTTTTCGAGGCGAGACATTTTTGAATTTCATAACTTTCCAAATTATCGCAAATACGTTTTGATAGTGGGATCTTAAAAACATTTTTGAAGTTCCCGTTGAATAGAAATTGTAAGGCCTTGTACAATTAACGTTGTTTCCTAGGATCATCTGATCAATTGAAGTGTCAAAATAACGGATTGTGCTAAATTATTGCGATATCCCAAAAATTTAACAAAAGTTGCAATTTACGATAAATATATCAGTTAACATATCGGACTATGTAGTATAAACACATCATATCAATTATTTTTCACACTTCTTCTTGCTCTTAGACTTGAATAGAGCTAAACACAAAATATCATAAAAATCAAAGCTTCCTGGAAAGCCTACGATTTGTTTTCAAATTTGGTTGATTGGATGATTAGATAGTAGAATGGTTGGATGATTGGATGAGATGATGGTTGAATGGTTGAAGGGTAAGGTGGTTGGTTGGTTGGATGGTTTGATGTTAGAATAGTTGGATGATTAGATGGTAGAATAGTTGGATGATTGGATGGTAGAATGGTTGGATGGTGGAATGGTTGGATGGTTGGATGGTAGAATAGTTGAATGGTGGAATTGTTGGATAGTTGAATGGTGAAATGGGTGAATGGTTGGATGGTGGAATGGTTGGATGGTATAATAGTTGGATGGTTGGATGGTAGAACAGTTGGATAGTTGGATGGTTGGATGGTTGGATGGTTGNTAGACACTGGAAAGTTAATATTAGATGTTAGCTAAATAGCTGAAGATTCGATTGGAAATTTGAATTATTAAGGACACAATTGTACGTTGGACGGTTGGTTGGATGGTTGGATGGTTGGATGGTTGAATAGTTGGATGGTTGGATGGTTGGATGGTTGGATGGTTGGATGGTTGAATAGTTGGATGGTTGGATGGTTGGATGGTTGGATTGTAGGATGGTTGGATGGTTGGATGGTTGGATGAATGGTTGGTTGGATGGTTGATTGTTTGAATAATGATTTGGTTTCTAATGTTTGGATGACATAGTGAAAGTAAGATATTTTGATAAATGAAAATAGAAATTTACAAAATGACTGGATAAATGAATAAATGAGATTATAAATGGTAAATGAATGAATGGAGAGTTAGGATGAACTAATGCATGAATAGATGAACCTGCTGCCTGGAGATATTGATAGATAGATAGATTGCATAAGTCTGTTTTATTGATTTGAAATCATTTGTGGGATGCAGGCTGCACACACACACTCAAAATATACTAGGCAAGGTTAAACTTGAGTACGAGGGGGGAAGGAGGGGGGGAGGGGTGCAGAGAAAGAAAAGTAGGGTGAAAAATATAGAGGTGGTGCAGAAAGTGGGGTGATTAAAGATTGCAGGGGTAGGAAACCGAGGATCTAATAACTTAGAACATAAAAGATTATATTAAAACTCTTTTAAATCCATATACTTTATTACCCCGGGACTAACTTTATATCCCTTTAGGTTCAGGGTTCAGTGTGATCAAAACTAATCCATCATGAAAAAGGTTGATGCATGAATATTATTGGTTTGTATAAATGATTACATCAGAGTTTTCCTTTTAACTGTTATTGATGGGGAACCAAGTGCAAAAGTCTTCGCGAATAAATTTTGCAAATCTTGAGTTAGGCATCTCAGTTTTGCAAGGGTAAAATTAGTCTGGGCAATGCATTTTATACACACTACAATGCTTTACTGCCTTCTATGTCTATAATTTAGAAAAAGGTGTTTGAGTGAGTGCCCCCTCCCCCTTCTTCCCCCACTATGCGCCTCCCCCCCTTCCAACCTTTCCAATCGTAAAGTATTTAACCCTATAAAACCACAAAATCATTATCGACTCTGCAGAAACTTTATTAGATGTTTTTAAAATAGTAAATAATTACTTTTTATATCATAAACATTTAATGGTTTTTGGGAGATTAAATAATTCAGGAATTGCGGGAGTAAAGGATTTATTGTTTAGATATATCTGGGTTAATACGGTGGGTACCAATTATTGAATAGCGTTTAATTACAACTATCTCAGGTTTCAAAGATACTTCTAAACCGAACAATTGAATATTGGCTGTATTAATTTTATGGAACAATAATTAAGGTGTCTGTTGTCTTCATATAAGGAAAAATTAAATGTTGTATTTTTTCCAGAAAGAAATTGAGTCTTTGCCACAAACTCAAATTTATTATTTATATCTTTGCAACCTGATATTATAAACCTGTAATATTTCAAGTGTAAATTATATGATCCAACAGAATGTATCGAAGAAAAAGGGTGAAAGGGTAGATAAAGGGTTGAAGGGTTAGCTTTCTTTTTCCGTAATTATAATT